GACCTTCTCGTGGACATGACTTCAACGCGGAACAGCATCGAATTCTTGCTTGTTTCCCCCAACCCAGACGTTGTTCGTGTGCTGTCACGTGGTTGTCACCGCGTGTATCTGCCTGAGTTGGGCCGCAGTCGCGAAGTGGCACCTGTTTCAGCCCAGATGGGATCCAACTACGCGAGGATGGAGACAGAAGGTCAGCCTGAAGGTGGATGGAACGTTGATGTAACGGCCATGTCTTGTGGGTGTAAGTACCATTTCAAGTTTGCTGTATGCATTCATGTCCTATTGGCCCTACAGGTAAAGCACTACACCGGCTTAGACGGTAAACGGACGCTCGTCAACCGTTCGGTCTCAAGGAAGCGACGTCGAACGCGTACTAGTAGTGCACGAGTCCCAGCTGGTCGGCAACGGACTAATGGCCACGCACTCACCACTGATTGAGGATACATATAACTCAAACAGAACTATAAAAATTTACAATACATTGATTCTTCTTGTTTGCATTTCGTTTCATCCATTTCCATTGTGACTACTTTTGGATAAATCCCAGCTCTAAAAATATTAATAACCGAAAGCAACAGTCGCTTTGCTGCTTGTTTAAATGGATTTTTCGATTATCTCTTCGAAATGGGAAGTGCTAACGATGGCCAAGCTCCTCCCAACGCTTTCTTCGCGTTTTTTCGAATGGTGCCAAGGGCACCTCCGTCAACGTGGGTGGGGTCGCCTAGACGAGGCTGCCGCCCGCTATCTGAGGAACTGGGCCCTCATCCAGCGAGATGACACCTCAAGTCCCAGTGACCCAATCAAGCGGCTGCTTGATGCGGTACCGCAATCCCGCATCACCAAGGCTCGTCTCATTGAGGCGGCCACAAAAGGTGATGATGCCGGTGAGCAAGAGTGGGTGCTGCCTTCCGGCGTGGATCTTCGAGGTCTTCCAACATACCAGATGCGCACTATATTGGATGATCAACGGGTTAATGGGCGCGTGGTTTCCTGACGTCGTGGGAGCCAACATGGGGACCTGCGTCTAACCTGCCATCTAACGAGATAAAGAAATATCGCAAGCGTAAAAGGCGCAAAGTAGAGCGTGCTTACATTGAAGCGGAGGCTGAGGAAGACTAAGCAATTATGAGTAGCACAATAGTGGCTTAAAGCTAAGACCATTTAAGTTAAGAGATAGTCGAACCCTAGATCTTGGTGACCTTGCCTGATACAACTGCATTACCATTGCCACGCAGCCATCAGCTAGAGCGGTACAGGGTCTAGCCCATCAACTCGCCCCGCACAAGCCTTGCAGCAACGGGCCCACACGTCGTAGCCATTGATGATGCGCACTGTCCTTTGCGTTGCCGCTCGCAGTGTCCGTCGAGTTGTCGCTGCATGTAGTGTCCGTTGTATGTGGTGGTGGCGCCGCCGAGCCAGCCCTGCAGCGGCCGTGGTACGCCGCGCCTTGATAATTGAATTATGTGCTCTTGCCCCCGCAAATTGATTTGTGAGGAAGCTGGAAGGTGGGGCTGGCTGTCACTGACCGTATCAGCCAATGGCTGGGCCGCGGGATGGATTGGAGTACCGTATGTTACACGCCTTCTCCCTCTATCTCTCTGCCCGATCCATCCCCCTTCTTTTCTGTGTGGCACACAGACGTTTTTGTGTGGATATTTAAAGACAGGGTACCACAAGTAGAAACAAATGTATCACGAGGGATCACAAGTAATTCCATTGGCTGAAAATAGAATTATTTTCAACTGATGCAGAATCTGCATTGCACATTAATTTTTCGTCGCTCAGGGCGCGATTAGTAGTGTTTCGTTGGAGAGGAGCGGTGAGAAGACGTAGATCCCAGTGGGCAGAAGACGTGCGCACTTCCCGACCTCAGTATCCACCGGTAAGTGCAGACGCACATGCCGGCCCCCGATGCTTTTGCTAATTCAATCGTTGTCTTTGCGAGAGCTACATGCACGTAGGACACAATATTGGAATATGTACATGAAACCTGAGGCAGTGCGTCCGCAGATCCTGCTGACGCCTATTCTATACGTCATGAAGAGAAGCTACAGGTTTTCGATCACTACTTGGTGTCATGAAGAGAAGCTACAGGTTTTCGACCACTACTTAGTGTTCTTCCAGCTTACGTTGGAGGTCAAGGTACAGTATTCTTCAAGATTGACAATACGTACTACTATGTTTTAACGTTTATAGTTGTCTAGCTGTACTTACTTAGCCTTGAATGCGCCTACAGTCAAGCGTAGAACTTTGGGGAATTGAACTTCGCTGAGAGCCTGAAGCAATCCGCTTGCTACTCTAAAAGCTGGACTAAATAGAACATTCCGCTCACGCCCACAGCTCAATGTTTGACAATCTTCTAACTTACCATCCAACTATTCTTCAATGCGCAGAAAACACGTTGTTAACCACCACAACGACAACTCCGCATGCATAGTTACAAAATAAACATTCGCCTCGTCAATATTTTAATCTAAAATAATACTTTTGAGTTCCTTCAACGTGCGAGATGTGCTCATGTCCCAATGTTCTCTTTCTTTCTTTGCTCACTTTCAGATTCCTCGGGTGGCTTGACGTCATTCGAATCTAGAAATTCGGCTTCCAGGGGCAGCTGGATAGACAGTGATTCGACGGTATCCTGCAAATGCCGTACCAAGTACGCAGAGTGGAAATATTTTCGCACATCATACTGAGCGACGCCCGCATCCTTATACTTGGATCTACCTGAATATGCCGACACGGAATCCTCAACTGCTCTGAAACTGTGCAGCGGGTACACACACCAGTATCCATGTTGACTTCGTATACATGTGCGTTCTTGCTGGTACTGCTGCGCGAGTCAAATGCATCGAACACGTAAAAGATCCGTTCATCGCCTACGACGTCGGTTTGC